AAATTCGCTCAGTTTTTTTTATGTTTTATTCTTTTTGAGTGACGCTAAAGGATCCTTGTAGTTTAAGTTTAAACTCTTGACCTGTATTAGTTTATCTCCCTATTGTTTGACAATTTGTCTGAATCTTTATTTTTAACACGCTTATATTAGCTTCACCTGTATGTATGTATGTTTGTAACTCTCCTTTGGACTAAAAGCAAGTTTATTACTGTCAGTATATCCCACTAACTCAAGTTCGTTCGTTGGCCGAGCGGTCTAAGGCGCGGGTTTTTTGATTATAGTTTATAACAGGATCGAATGATACGTTAAATTTCAAGCGTGGGAAAATAAGGGTTACGGATTTCAAAAATCGGTCAAATTTTTTGGATCCGCAAATTTTTAGCCAGACTGACTTTTCTCCGGTTAGGATATGCCAGACTGTTATTTTCATTAATAAAATGATTCACTTTAATAAATGTCAAATATTTATGACTGGGAAAATAAGTCGACTGGTCTTTTTTTATCTAGTTAACACATCCAAAAATCTTAGCCAGACTCACAAATTGTCGTTTTGTGTCACCATTTGAATAATGTGCACATTCGCCGAATGCTAAAATAAGTATAAAAAAAATTCATTGCCTCCTGGACTATTATTATAGAAAATCATTATATGGACACGCTGCAAAATGCATTTGCCACTAATGTTATACCATCCTAAAAATATATAAGAATCTGGTTTACCGAAAAGTCCATACACCCTCATTTGCTAATAACTTTAACAGCTTAGCTGATTGGGGTGAATGACTGTTCGCTCGGCTGTATTCATACTTTTTAAACAGATATGGATGTTTCTGCACGGCTGAAATGTATAATTATCTCTCAATCTTGGAACCGTAGATAATTCTGAACATAAGGAGTAGTTCACGGGTACTGATCTGGCACTATTTTATTAAGATTACACACTACATAAACCCCTCTAGATGGGCCCAAACATAGGGGATATACGTCTGTTATTGCAACGACTGTATCTCAGTAAGGCCACCTATATTATAAAAAAGAACCATCGAAACTCAAAACACGAATTATTAAAGATTTTATTCTGAGGACGTCCGCTGTACCTATATCCTCATGAATTCTTTAACTGTATATATTTGGGCGGGGCACATCTGAGAAAAAAAATTATTTCTCATTCCCCAATTTATATAGTATATGTTATTTCTTTGAGGGAAAATAAATTAAGTCAAATATATTTTGAGTATCATTTCACTCACAAATTTTCACCAAACTATACATCGAATCCTGGATTACTTTATAAATTAATTATAAATACAACTAGACTATCAAAACTAGAGGAGAAAGGCCTATAAAAATAATTTATTTGAAAATCTCAAACGGGAGAGAGATAATTAAAATCCTATTTTAAATTATACATGAAGCGACCAGGGGCCTATTTCATAAAACTACTTTGCAACTTTTCACTTTGAACTTTACAAATCTTAGTAAATTTATGTTTTATAATAGAGAGAGTTGAGAAGTTGAAAAGTAGAATTCGAAAAGTGAAAAGTGTAAAGTGTAAAGTAAAAGTATAGAAATTAAGGTTTCTGTTTCATAATAATCTGACAAGTCAACAGTTGTCAAAATTAATTTACACTTTTCAATAATTTAAATCTGCAAAGTGAATTTAAACTGTGCCTCTTCGAAAATGAGCGAACGTACTTCTGTTAATAAAAAAAAACTTGCAATTCTGTCATTGATGAAAGAAAAAAAGCAGTCTTATTTGGAAATTTTAAAAATACCAATAATAAAGACAAACAATTGGCATGGGAAGAGGTTCTTAAAAAAGCAAAAGCCTTAGAATTTAGCTTCGGCTTTCGAACTAATTAATAATTTTTCTTGCTTTCGCGCGTGGCTTTGATCTGTCTCACTCTTGGATGCGCGTTGCCAAATAAGATTTTTCTTAAAAGTTTGCCAATGTCTATGGATGAGAAGAAAATGATTGTGACACGAGATCAAGCTGATTGTGTATTTTGGCACAATGAAAGACGGAAACGAGGTACTGCTTCAAAATTTGCAGAAATTTGTAAAAAACGGAAACGACTTCTTTAAAAAATCTCATAAAATCTTTTATTTTTTGTTCAAGTCACCCAATATGGCATGGATAATAAATCTAGAGCAAAATAAGATTTGGAAAAAGTTTTTAAATGTGGACTTTTTATTAATTCCGAGCTGGAAAAACAGGAACTAATGCTTTCATTCCAAAAAAAGTATTATGGTCAATAAAAGGAGTTTAGAACTGTGATATCTACAAATCCTTATTTAATATCTTTAAATACCTTTTAAAGAATTATCTTTTAAAATTGTTACAAATACCGAACATAAGTTTGTTTAATTTTTATTTAATATAATTATTTAAACATGTTTTTGTTTTTTGTCTAAATGATATCGAATACTCACTTTTTCTGTACAACTTCTTTTAACCGACATTGTGAGGTAAAAAAAAACTTATTTCTATGGGCATCGTTTGGGGGGACAAAATTTAGCCCTAAATTAAGTTATTTAGTACTAAATTTAGAACTAACAATATTTTTTCCTTTTGCAACGATACCAATTTTATACCAATTACACATTGAATATATTTATTCCATATCCATATCTTATACAACTGTTTCACAAACGAAATGTATGACGGAGCTCTAAAATAGATTTTTTTGGTTTAGAACCCCGGAGCATTTATAGAAAAAAGGTCCTCAAGCAAAATCAGACCCTTTCTTAGTGAAATCTAAAAAAAATGACAAACCAGGTGACTTCCCTTTTGTGACGAACTTACTCATAGTACTCCTCTAGTACTTTTTTATTATGACTATTGTTTTCGCGAAGCCCCGGGGCTCTGTGGAGCACACTTTGAGAAGCACTGTCTCACACGAACCTATACATTTTACTTTTTACTTTCCTATCTGTATACAGATAAGGAAAGTATGGGAATCATGATTTTTTCGACCTTAAGTTTTCGACGGATTTTTTCGTTTTGGGGTATCCTGAATCCGTTTTGACTATTTTCGGGATGATGTCTGTCTGTGTGTCTGTGCGTCTGTGCGTCTGTGCGTTTGTGTGTCTGTGCGTCTGTGTGTCTGTGTGTCTGTGTGTCTGTGTGTCTGTGTGTCTGTGTGTCTGTGTGTCTGTGTGTCTGTGTGTCTGTGTGTCTGTATGTCTGTGTGTCTGTGTGTCTGTGTGTCAGTGTGTCTGTGTGTCTGTGTGTCTGTGTGTCTGTGTGTCTGAGTGTCTGTGTGTCTGTGTGTCTGTGTGTCTGTGTGTCTGTGTGTCTGTGTGTCTGTGTGTCTGTGTGTCTGTGTGTCTGTGTGTCTGTGTGTCTGTGTGTCTGTGTGTCTGTGTGTCTGTGTGTCTGTGTGTCTGTGTGTCTGAGTGTCTGTGTGTCTGTGTGTCTGTGTGTCTGTGTGTCTGTGTGTCTGTGTGTCTGTGTGTCTGTGTGTCTGTGTGTCTGTGTGTCTGTGTGTCTGTGTGTCTGTGTGTCTGTGTGTCTGTGTGTCTGTGTGTCTGTGTGTCTGTGTGTCTGTGTGTCTGTGTGTCTGTGTGTCTGTGTGTCTGTGTGTCTGTGTGTCTGTGTGTCTGTGTGTCTGTGTGTCTGTGTGTCTGTGTGTCTGTGTGTCTGTGTGTCTGTGTGTCTGTGTGTCTGTGTGTCTGTGTGTCTGTGTGTCTGTGTGTCTGTGTGTCTGTGTGTCTGTGTATCTGTGTATCTGTGTATCTGTGTGTCTGTGTGTCTGTGTATCTGTGTGTCTGTGTGTCTGTGTGTCTGTGTATCTGTGTGTCTGTGTGTCTGTATGTATGTGTGTCTGTGTGTCTGTATGTATGTATGTGTGTCTGTGTGTCTGTGTGTTTGTGTGTGTTTTGTGTGTGTTTGTGTGTGTGTGTGTGTGTGTGTGTATGTGTGTGTGTGTGTGTGTGTGTGTGTGTGTGTGTGTGTGTGTGTGTGTGTGTGTGTGTGTGTGTCTGTATGTGTGTGTCTGTATCCACCATGAACCGATACAAAGAAAAACACCAAATTTTAAACTTAAGCTTTATTCCGGCCTCCAACGAACTGATTAGATTTTGGGCAGAGTCGGAACATCTGGGGGATACTTTATATTTTATTGAATATATCTGTTATTTACGTTTAGAGAAAAACATTCTTCAAATAAAAGTTACTTACAATATTATTATCAATATTTTTTGTTCTATTTAAAATATTCCTAAAATGGTCCGTATTCGAGAAATTTAACAAAATGTAAAAAAAATTATTTTTTATAAAAATTGTTTAAATATAAGTTGTTTATAATATAATTTTCTACAATTCTTATTCTATATATAATTTCTCTAAAATGGACCGTATTTGAGATATTTTTGAAAATGTGTAAATTTCGAATTTTAGAAGAAAACTCAAAAACGGATAAAGAAAAAAACATTAAATTTTAAACTAAAGTTTTATTTCGGCCTGACGTAAGTGATTAGATTTTGGACAAAGTCGGAATATCTGGGGGGGGGGGGGGGGGGGGGGGGGGGGGGGGGCGTTTTTATATTTTATGGAATATATCTGTTATTTATGTTTGGAGAAGAAAATTGTTCAAATAAAAGTTACTTCTAATATTATTATCTATAAATTTTGTTTTATGTCAAATTTTCCTAAAATGGTCCGTATTCGAGAAATTTGACAAAATGTGCAAAATTCTGATTTTTAAGAAAATTGGCCGTAATGGAAAAATTGGAGGAAAAGTTCTAAATTTAAATTTTTCAGTATTTTTGTTTTCCATGAATATCTATAGAAAACTGTTTCGAGGTAGGTGTATGTGGAAAATGTATATATTGTAATGAAAACACCCTATATCAAAATTTAATAATAAAACTAAAAATAATAACCGTACTAATAATAATATTAATAATAATAACTATAATAGTAATAAATAAAAAAATAATATTATAACCCTGTATATTAAAAATTGCTACAAGAAAGTAATAAGTGAAGGAGACTTTGGGGAAGTAGGTAGAAAGGATGGTTTCTAAGTTGGGTTGTTGAATGTCAATTTGAAAATTGGAATGTCACGAAATTTTTTTGTAGTAGTAATTTATTTTAAAAATATGAAAAAGAATTATAAAACTGACAATATATCACATATTGAATAAACAAATTTATCGAACCAAATACATATCGTTAAAAGTAGTAAAATACAAAATGGTCATGGAAAACAGTCGTAATTGTTCCCGGAAAGAAACCCAAACATAAACTGAAGATAGAAGAATAGAAACAGAAAATTCATTGAATATAAACAGTGAGTAAATTTTTATAAACTATCTACGATTAAATCAAGAAATGATTAATTAAGTGAGAATAGACATTGGTACTCGTTATTTTTGTTTGTAGACTTTAATTTTAGTTATAGTATATTTAGTATGATTGAAGAGCAAATGAATTTAGTGTAGATTTAATGATGTAGTTATTATTAATCCCCAAAATTGAAAATAGCGGGATATTTCGATAATTTGTGATTTAGATTGAGATTTAATATGTCGAAAAATAAATCTTGTATTTTGGATTTGAAAATTTGTTTATTTATTATTTGAATATACAGGGTATAAAACAAGTCAAGTCATACATTTTTATTTTGTTGATTATTCACAAATTAAATTAAAAGGAAATTATAATAACATTAAAATAAAATTAAAATATAATTAAGATATAATTAAGATATAATTAAAATATAATTAAAATATAATTAAAATATAATTAAAATATAATTAAAATATAATTAAAATATAATTAAAATATAATTAAAATATAATTAAAATATAATTTAAATATAATTAAAATATAATTAAAATATAATTAAAATATAATTATAATATAATTAAAATATAATTAAAATATAATTAAAATATAATTAAAATATAATTAAAATATAATTAAAATATAATTAAAATATAATTAAAATATAATTAAAATATAATTAAAATATAATTAAAATATAATTAAAATATAATTAAAATATAATTAAAATATAATTAAAATATAATTAAAATATAATTAAAATATAATTAAAATATAATTAAAATATAATTAAAATATAATTAAAATATAATTAAAATATAATTAAAATATAATTAAAATATAATTAAAATATAATTAAAATATAATTCAAATATAATTAAAACAAAATTAAAATAGATACATAAAAGAAGATTAAATAAAATAAAAAAAATATTAATATTATTATTTGAAACACCCCTGAGATAAAAAAAAAGTAACAAGCCAAGGTAAATAAATAGTATATTTTAATTAATATAAAAAATGATCATGTGTGATATCATTACAATATTTAGTTTATCCTCTAAACATTTATAGAGGTGCTGCAATAGGTTGTACAAAATAACCGGAAAAAGCCTATAATAACTAGTTAGGAAAGTCATGTGTTGGACACATCAGATTTTTTTTTAAAGTAGGTAAAAACAAAACAAAAAGCAACCGTGGTTGCTGTGTTATAAATTGTAAAAATACTAGCAGAAAGAACGGTTTAAATTATATAAATTTTCATTAGCAAAATGGAAATTAAATCAAAGAAATAAATGGATAGCTGTACAATAAGAAGGAAAAGACCTTTATTTTTGTAATAATAACAGTAATATTGGAAATAGTAGACATCAGAAAGTTGAAAGGTTTTAAATAAACAATAAATTATTATTTTACAATGTTGCACGGAAAAAAATGTCACTAGAAAATTTTACTACAATGTTGTAGTAGTAGACTTGTAGAAAAATACTTAATTTTTTGTAGAAAATTTTACTATAATTTATAGTTAAAAACTATTAATTATTGTAGCAATTGAATTGTCGAATAAAATGCTACAACAATAGGAAAGAAGACCACAATGTTTAGTATATTTTACTATTGTTTGTAGAAGTAGAAATTTATTACAATTATTGTAATTATTACAATTAACTTGTATCCGGATACTTTATGTGTACCCGAAAGCTGTACTCGGATACTTTTAAAATTTTGTATCCGGTATCCGTATCCGTGACCAAATTTGTAAGTATCCGGATACCGGATACTTTTTTCGGCATTCGGATACTTTTAAATTATTTACCACAATCGTAACTGATCCAATCCATATTAACTCTATTAAAATTAGGGTTGCCAGACGTCACGCGTTAGGCGTATTTTCCACGCGTTTTGACTTGCTTGTACGCTCAACGTTACAGTACGAAAATGTCCCGCTTTTGAGAAAAATGCCACTCTTTTTATGCAAATGCCATTCTATTTTTGCAAATGCTAAGTTTTTTAATATTCAAAGCCGTAAATAAACAGGAGGAACTGGATTTATAGGAAAATACAAGCTGAGTACTTTTTTTTTAAATTTCTAACCTAATGTTCTGCCGTCACGCTTGTTTCGCTTTTTACTTTCGTAAATCTGGCAACCCTAACTAAAATATATAATCGAAATACTTTGAGCTACCCTGTATAATTAGAAATAAAATACGTATTTTTCAATATTAAAATATTTAACACACAATTGCAATAGGGGTACCTACTTAAATAAAAAATAGTAAAATAATTATTTTATTATAATTTGTTTTATTTGATTTTGTTTATTGCACCCTGTAAAATTTAAAATAACGAAAACATTATTTTTCATCGCCAAGGATGAATTCGACGATTCACCCAGTATAAAGACAATCGTGATTCAGCATCTTGCGCCACGTTTTTACAGAAAAAATCCTGCAAACCCTTGTCCGGTGTTACCGTCACAAACTTGTGGAGGTTCCATTAGCCCAGTTATGAATCAGTTGACAAAGACAAGAGACGGTTGTTCCTGTGTTTTTATATAGTGCAATATAACTAAACTTTCTGTATCAGTTTTAGTGCCTAACTATACGCAAATGTAAGTAGGTATAGGTATCTCGAATTTTTTGTTTTGTAAAATGTCTAATTACATCAATAAAGTATACAGATCTGACAAGATCAAATATACGTGCCTGCTTTGCCTATGCCAGAACGAAACGTTCAGCAATCTCTCACTTCTCCTACTTTCGACGCTCTCGACTCTACCAAGTACCCCTCGTCAGAGGATCCACAAAAAATGGATTGTCGACAACATCTGGCACTGGCGAGAATATCGAAAGAATGTATAAACATGGCAAGTCGCGCTAGCAACGAGCTTATTTCGTTAGATTTATATGGACATGACACTGGCTGGTTTTTTGGCGCGGTTCAGGCGCGTCTCGTTTTATTTACACGCACCTTTGTTTTATTGTTCACTTTGTTTTAATGTTTTATATTCACAGAATAAAAATTATAAACAATTTATTGAGCAGTTTTTTCCTGTTTCTTTTACTATCGTTTTTAATTTTCGATAATTTATTTATGCCTAGTATTGTTTATTGTTATTCGTAATCAATCTTATTGCATAATTATAACTATTGGAATGAAAACATTATTTTAACTCACTTTAAAAGTATCCGTAAAAGAATCCTTTAAAGTATCCGAAAATAAGTATCCGGATACTTGTATCCGAGTACTTTTTAGGTGAAAGTATCCTAAAAAGTATCCGGATACATTGTAAGTATCCGTATGCGGTATTCGGATACTTTTTTCCTGTATCCGGCTCAACTCTGCTCTTTATAAAAGTTTCTAAAATGTATTTAGATCATAACATAACATCAACCATATTTTTATATTGATTGATAATCAACTTATAGCAATTAATATAAAAACAATTAATTAAAACAGCACGCGCTCGTTGACTTACCGTCTGCTTTCGGTGTTTGCTTCCTCATCACTTCGTATATCCCATCTCAGTTGCAACTATGACTGTAAACATGTTTCTATCTCTATCGCACTATGACACTAGCCCGCCCATGCCGTTCATAATTTTTTTTATTGGTAAATTGTTATAGTTCTGATAATATTTTCTTCATGGTGTCCAAAATTGTACAGACCCAACTGAGATAGTTTATAGTATTCATAATTTTAGGAAAAAAAAGTTCATATTAACAAGGGTCTGATATCGATCACTAGCGGGGTTATATGTGATTAAAGTGTTTCTTTAATTTACAAAAACATTGATCAACATTTGATCAAAAGTCAAGAGATGTATTATTTCTGTAAATTTTGATTCACCTGTAATTTTGCTACTGATCGAGATTAGATCATTGCTAATATTAACCTTTTTGGTTAAAAATCTATAATCTGTCTGTTTTTTATACAATTTGGGACATCTTGTACAAATAAATGTAATATTATTAATATAGAAAACAATGTGCCACAAGTAAAATTTGAAGATAAAGTATCTAACTGAAAGAGCTCTCAACTTTAATCAAAGAGCTTGGATGTGGATATTCATATTTTTTACTAGAAAACCTAAAACTTACAATCTTGTGTAATAATTGTATTAAATTTTCTCCTCGTCTTCAAGTCTTTACTGTTTTCACGCGGTGAAGGACATCCTGCTAGCTACAGGGGATGTGAAGTAGCCAAAGAAATGCAAAAAATTAAAAATAATAGCATAGCAAAAAAACCAAACTTACCTAAACAGCCACAGCGAGTAATCCAACATAACAATTTAATAAACAAATCTAGATTATTTAGCCAGACGGTATCTGGTAAAAAAGAAGAAATAGATAACAATCAAGATTCATCCATTACCAATACTCTCCACCAAATACTGGAAAAGCTGAACAAAATGGATGAACGAATTACTAGGTTAGAATGTAGTAGCAAAGGAGCTATACCTAAGAGACAATATAATGAGTAATAGCCTAATAATAATGGAAAGGAATGCTAATGGACTGCTGCAGCACCAACAAGAATTGCAAGCGATCCTAGATATAGAAAACATAGACATATATTTAATTTCAGAGACTCACTTTACCAATGAGTCCTTTATTAAATTTAAGGGATATAAGGTTTATCATACCATTCATCCCTGAAATGCAGCAAGAGGGGGTAGCGCAGTAATAATTAGAGAAGCAATTAAGCATCAAGAAGCGGGATACAGGACTGAAGAATTTCAGGCTACTTCAGTAATGATAAAATCTAAAACTTCTGATGTTATGGTCACTTCTGTATATTGTCCTCCAAGACATACGGTTAAGAAAGAACAATACCTAAATTTCCTCAATATTCAAGAACCTAGATTTATCATTCGTGGCGACTTTAATGCAAAACCTAAAAGGAGCAATGACACAGTTAAAATGTGAGTCGCATTTAACTGGCAAACCAACTTATTGGCCCACAGATAGAAACAAAATACCCGACCTAATAGACATTTTTGTTGTACGAAATATTTCAGCAAACTACATCCAAGTTGATGAGACATGGGACATGACTTCAGATCATTCGCCCATTCTTCTCACTCTTAGTGACACCATTATCCAAAAGGAAAGCGCTCCTAGACTAATAAATAGGAGAACAGACTGGCAAAGCTTCAGACTGGACTTTGAAAATAAATTCAATCTTTCAGTTCCGTTAAGAACAAAAGCACAGCTAGATGAAGAAGTAGAACTACTTGTTTCCAACATACAACAAGCAGCATGGGATAATACGCCACCTATTATGCAGCGAACAACAGGAAATAACTATCCTAAAGAAATAAGGGACCTAATCTCTGCAAAAAGAAAACTAAAGAGGACATGGCATCAGACCAGAGCTCCATCAGATAAAACCAAACTTAACAACGCCACCCAGCAGTTAAAAAGAGAGATAAAACGAATCAAAAGTGAATCTATTTGTGAGTACCTTAGTGAGTTGACAAACGATAAATCCACTGATTATTCTCTATGGAAAGCTCCTGGCTATGATTTAAATAAAGGAGAAGTCTTAAAACAACTTCCGAAGAAAGCAATAATTAAACTTACACACCTGTTTAATGCCTCATTCAAACTAAGGTATGTCCCTAGATTGTAGAAAGTAGGACTTACATTTTTTAACACTTTGCTGAGTTTTCTTTTTCTTAGCGGTGATGGGTCTTCTAAATCAATAATTAAAAATTGTAAGTTCATTATATTAACGAGCCGGTGGTACTCATCATTATTTCGCTTTTCTTGAAGCGTTTGCGCAACGGCTGAGACTATTTTCATCATGTCAGTCAGTGTGGCCTCCTTGCTTTGTAGAATTTTGTCCGTGCGTGTACTGCTATCTATCAGTAAGCAGTTTTAAGTTTTAAAAAAATCTCTTGGTTTGACACTATAGGGAAATTAGGGGAATTACCGAAATAAAATTTATGGTTATCCGTTTTCCGATTTCCAGTTGCAATTTATTGTCTGTGGCTTTGTGTTTATTATGTTTTGACTAAAATGGACAGTAAGCAATAAGTAACTGTTAATAAATAAAGGTTTTCTTGTAAGAGAATATAATATAAGTGACTCAGAACCATTACTAAAAATATAGTGATATAACGATTCTACTATAAAATTTTTATAGTAAGTACATTTTTTCCCAATTCACATTTAAAAAAAAAATCAGTACAATTTTAAAAATCGTTGATGCGACTTATTGTTCATTGTTTGTATTTTTCAATAGCCGTTAATAGCGCTTCTATATGTGGGCAATTTTCTAGGGGGGGCGCAGACAAGCTTTAGGGGGGGCTCAGCTCCCCCTGGCGCCCCCTTCACTACGGGCCTGATCTCCAATATATTAATTTTCAATTCCTTAACAATTTAGCTTGTGACACTAAGCCCCCTACAGAATTCATTTCTAGAGCGCTTTTGTTACAAATAGCACCTACTAGCACATACTATTTTCTAAATTTCGCGCGTTATAGTTGAAAATATGTATGACTCGTATCTACATGCGATTGTTAAAATTGGACGGCGTTAAGCAGAAAGCTACCAATCCTCAATAGTAACAAACTGAGGTAATCAGCTATAAAGTTTTGTTCGTTTAAGAAAGCTATGGGATATGGGCTAGCATTTTATTGTTTTATATGGTATATAATTAACTGAGACTTGGCAGGTTCTTACAGAATGCAGAACGTGTATATTATTACCCAAATCCCCACTCAACCTAATATCTGGTATATTGTGGGTTGGTAGTTTTCTGCATAACTCCGTCCAATTATGAATGAATGCTGTTTAGTCTCGGAAGTAATTTTATAGTGTTTAGGCTCCACCCTTAAGTTTTTATACCTACTAAACTACCGTTGTCCCGCTGGTTTTTCAGTTTGTAATGTAAATATTCCTCTTGAACAAATAACACTGTACGATCGAAAAATAATAGTGTTTAAATTCAAATTGATAGTATAATTGCAATTACAAATAATATGACCTACATAATAAATAAATAGATAAAAAAACGCGTCGGTGTTAATAAGCTTCTTCTACACTAATTATAATTGAACTATTGTAATAAATTTGTATTCAGCATAATATTCATTATTAAAATTGAAATTGAAACTAGAGATTCAGTTGATTCGGTCGTAAACATTTAATTTCATTTTTTACGCAGGTTATCCAAAACGAATAAAACAAAACAGCTGTCGGGAGCCGGCTTCAGCTCACTCAACTCGGCTCGCGGTTGCCGCAGTTTGCGAGTACAAGCCCAAAAGCTAACAGAAAACGAAATAGAAGTATCAGAGAAAATAGTCGTGTTCAGATGTCGGGAGAATGTGTATGCGAACTTGCGAACCTGAAAATCGTCAGTGGTAAAAGGCGCGTCATGTCCATGTGATTAAAACAATACCAAATTTTAGTGTTAATATTTGCGAAATTCGGTATTATTTTGCGTAAGTAATATATTATTATTAACTCATTGAAACCGGTTGATAAATTATCAAGAATAAGGTTAGAAAATATTAATACCGGTTCTATAGGTATTTACACAAACTCTCTGGTTATAAGAGAATAATCTGAATAATATTAGGTACCTCTACCTATACCTTAACAAAACAATTTAAAAAGATGATTACATAAGTTATGTTTTAACGGATTATAAGTTGCTAATAACAAACAGTTATGACTAATGTGTTATTAGTTTGTTATTAGCATATATTTAGCGTATTAGCATATTTAGCATAAATAAAAGCACGTACGAACTTACTACTCACATTGGTTTTTGGTTTTTAACTCCTACATATTATACTAGAATTTATAAAAATTATTGGAAGATAATACAAAATATGTTACTCCTAGTAGTTCAATTTTGTTAATATAATAATAGTTACATCCGAAAATACCTACACTAAATGTGTCAAAAGACTAATTTATACTTTGTAAATTAATTAATTAACTAAATGTCTTAAGTTTCTGGAGACGATGTACCTAATTAAAATTATGAATAAATTAAGGAATGACGTAAAAATCAATCCCGAAACTCTGGGTCCAAAAAATAAATTATAATACCTACATAGGTATAGTTATTAGCTATCCATGTTTTTAAACAATTATGAGTTAAATCCTATTTAGCAGGTAGTTAAAATGTTGTTAAAAAAATAACTTCTAATCGACAAATAAAGGAAATATACCCAATCTAATTTAAGTAAACAAAAATATCGTAAATTAAATATTGATTTATTACAACATTGTTTAGATATGACTACTTGATCTGATAACGAAATTAATAAAAAAATGGTGAGAACTATTAAATTTAATTTAAAAATATTGATTTAGTACATTTATTATGATGTCCGGTAGGGTTTTCTGGTGTTTTCTTACTTGTAAGTCAAATGGAACCATCAATAATCTGTAACGCGCCCCGGAGCGCCGCAGTAATTAATAATAATAACAACCATATCTTTCCCGATACAAGTTCTTCTTTCAGAGCTTCAGGGGTTCATTCGTAAAGGGGGAGAATTTTATTATAGGAACGATCCGACGGTAATGATGTAAAATACCGGGAATACAGGAAAATTCCCAAAAAAATTCAAAAAATTGGTAAATTTCTTGATATCTATTCAATTTTATTAATTCAATTCTGGTTGAAAAATATTTATTTCAAAATATCTGAATAATTGTCTGACTCAGACTCTGATTAAGCATTTGATACCTACTCATCTTCTGATTTCATGTAAGTAAGGATCATTGATTTTCCTCGGAATCTTCTTCATTAGATAAAAATAAACAGAGTATTCAGATAAAATAAACAGAGTATTTTCTAATCGAATGTCAATATTTAAGAGGGTGATTTTTGGATCCACATTAAGAAGAAAACTTCATGTGAACGTATGTCCTAAACGAGGGGCTTTCCACTTCGGCAATAGGTGTACCAATTTTACTGAAATGTTAGGAAATACTTTAGACAATGTTGGAATTGTTTCGACAATACCGGAAATGTTTCGGCAATGCATTGTTTCGGCAATACTGGCATTGGCATTGTTTGGGAAATGCACGGCATTGTTTCGGAAATGCACGGCATTGTTTCGGAGGAGGAAATGAACGAAAATGCAAGGCAATAACTCGACCAATTCATCCCCGTTTTAAAATAAACATTTACTAACACGTATTTAGAGCGGTGTGTAGACTGTGTAGAGTGGAAAGCTGTAAAGTTAATGATAAAACGATGGCAAGTATTTCTTTTAATTCTATTTTCAACTAGTTTATCATGTTTTTGGGTATTATGCAACATTATAGAATATAATCAAATATACCTAATAGCTAACCGCAGATAAAATATTCAGAATATTTGAAACAATATAATTAGCTACTTTTATTTTAATTTCATTCCAAGTTCCAAGATAAATCTTATTTATTTACTTGGCCCTAAGGACTGGATCGGTTTATGAACTTTTTCGACCCCCTCCCCCAGAGTTTCGACTATGCCTAAAATTTACTCAGCTCACTGCAGGATTTATTAAAGCTTAAGTTTAAAATTTCCTCAAATATATCGAATACGGTCCATTTTAGGAAAATCATGTATGGGACAAAAATTATAGAGAATCACCAGCAACTTTTATTTAAACAATTTTCTTAAAAAATCGAATTTTGTACTTTTTGTAAAATTTCTCGAATATTGACCATTTTTGGAAAATTATGTATAAATAAAAATATCGCAAGCAACTTTAAATTGAAGAATTTTCTTCTTCAAGTGTAAATATCATATATTTATTTATTGGATATTTTACAAACCCTATAAAAAATTAATAGTAATGTAGAGTTAAGTAACAACAATAAATTTAAAAACAAAGCAAACCTTAATATCTAATGAACTTAATTTAGTACAGTCCTCTACGTTGGACCTCGCTAAGAAACTCATTGGGTAACAGATACTTGGATCTATACTAAATAATCCTATTAAGCAGAAAAACGACCCTTTACCAAGTGCTCTGACTGTGTCCAAAAACCAATCAGCTCATTAGAGAATGGATGAAAGCTTAAGTTTAAAATTTTATGTTTTTCTCTTTAACCATTTTTGAGTTTTCACCATATTCGAAATTTGCACTTTTCCCCAAATATCTCGAATACAGTACAAATCATGTATAGGACAAAAAATTATAGAGAAAGACATCACAAGCAACTTTTATTTGAATAATTTTCTTCTAAATATGCACTTTTTGTAAAAAATTTTGAATACGAACAATTTTAGGAAAATTATTTACTTATAGAATAAAAATTATAGAGCAACACAAGCAACTTTAATTTAAAGAATTTTCTTCTCCAAGCGTAAATAACAAATTTCGTAGTAGAAAAACGATTCTACAAAGTACCCCCCCAGATTTTCCTACTATGCCTAAATGTAATTCATTCATTATTAGAGGATTAATCAAAGCTTAAGTTTAATATTTAGTGGTTTTCTCTTTATCCGTTCATGAGTTATTAAGTATACAGACACACACATACATTATCGCGAAAATAGTCAAAACGGATTTAGGGAACCCCAAAACGTAAAAATCCGTCAAAAAAAAGTCATGATTCCTATACTTTCCTTATCTGTATACAGACAGGAAAGTAAAAAATGCATTGTCAATAAATTAATTCCTTTCTAAATAAAATACATTTAAAACCATAATTAAAACGTGTATGACCCCCTCTAATAAAGTACAAACCATTTTATTATGCATTAAAAAAAAATCTGGTAAAATAGAGACAATTCTGGACCACCTTGGAACTATTTTCTATCAGATCAAATCAGAAATTTGATGAACTTTGCCAAAAAGGGCATTTAAAATTAATAATAATTGATGGAACGACACTTTCGATAAACGTAAATGCAATTTGTTTAATTTTACACAAGATGGCTTAGTTTTCCTAGTCAAAACACAATGGCTAATTGGTGAAATGTCAACTGACTGCGCGCGATTTTTAATGATTGCTAGTGATTGCTCAGCGACTGCGGGAGATTTCGGGAGACTGCGAGGGAATTCTGAACGACTGCGACGATTTCTTAGCGATTGCCGCTGATTTTGATGGGACTGCAGCGATTTTCAATGGGATTTCGGACATTTTGTACATGTATTGCGGGAGTGATTCGCCACTCGGATTTTACTTTTTTTTGTTTTATTTTTTATGGGTGAAATGGGTTTGGGATAATTCTTGCAAGGAATATTTGGAATTAATCAAAAATAAATTAATAACAAATGGTGTTCTTGTACATTTTCAGCCCGAGTTGCCGATTAAATTAATCGTAGATGCATCAAATGTGGGAATAAAGGCCATGATATGTCATGTTTTTGAAAAAATATTGAGAAACCTATAGCTTCTACTTCGCGTACCTTATCAAAGTCCGAACAAAAATATTCCCAAATTGAAAGAGAGGGCCTTGCAATAATTTTTGGCTTAAATAAATTTAATAAATATTTATATGGACATTTCTTTATCCTAGTTACACTTACCTCTGGTAACTATTTTTAACCCAGCTAAAGGTATACCCCAATTTTCAGCCAACAGACTACGTAGATGGACAGTAATATTGTCAAATTACAATTATAAAATTGAATATGTGAAATCGGAGCATAATATAAAGCCGATTTTTTATCACGTTTACCTATTGAAAGTCAAAAAGAGAGTCAAAATGAAGAAAAATTTGAAAAATATTTTTTAAATTGTGTTTTATATGTCAAATATTTTGCTTTTCAAAAAGGTTCCGTTGCCAAAAAAGTTTCAGAAACACTGCTCTATAATAATATGGGATCTATCAATTTAATTTACATTTTGTTATTTTCTCTAATTTTGACATATAAAGTAATACATTTTGTAATCGCAGCAAGTGTCAAAACGATCTACTTTATGCAACCAGTTGCATAAAGTAGAACATTATGCAACTGATTACGAAAATTTGATTATGTCTCCAGTTACGAAATGAAAATAAATAAAACTGCCTCTTTTTGGTTTTCAAGTAGAAAAATAAAAAAAATCGAAAAATCGAGAAATCGAGAAATCGAGAAATCGAGAAATCGAGAAATCGAGAAATCGAGAAATCGAGAAATCGAAAAATCGAGTAATCCAGTAATCGAGTAATCGAGTAATCGAAAAATCTAAAAATAAAATATCGAAAAATCCAAAAATCGAAAAAACCAAAAATCGAAAATAAGGCAATGAATAGTGACATTTCACATTTGAAAATATGGCATTACGTTTAACATTACAAAACAAAAAAAGAAAAGCTCGCTCAGCTCGTCCCGAAAATATTTACTCGTTACACAAAATAAGGCATTTCGTAACTGGTTACATAAATAGCTCCTAATATTTTAAATCATTGAACAGTATTTTCCGTCAATAATTAAATTATAAATAATTACCAAAACATTTTTTTCTCTTCGAAGAGTAGGCTTATGTCAAATAAACTTAAAAT